AATAAAACGTCTGGCGTCCAATCGTCCTAAGTTTGTGGCTCAACACAAGATTTTTCTTTTTTTCAAACAAGAATCTTTGCAGCTCATTCATGTGGAATGGGGATGGATACTTCTGGAAATAACCCCCAACCTCTAACGCTGCGGGAACGAACTCCTAGTGGCCCTCGCCTCGCCTGTTCCTGCCTCCTCTCTGCATCTCCCTGTTCTGCTCCATGCTCACCTTCCCTCTGTCCCCATCTCTCTGTTCTCTGAGAGCTGCAGCTGGAAAAGCCAAATGCAGGAACAGTCATGGGTCCCAGGCCAGCCTGTGATAGCACATTTTCCACTGAGAACTTGGTGACTAGGTGTTACCTGGCCAGGGGACGATCTGAAAACACCTTCTGTTCAATTTTGAGGCAGGCTGTTCTAATTCCAGATCCCCATGTAACTTCAGTTGTTTTTCCTTGTTTTTGGCCTGAAACATCAAAGCAATTTCCTCTGCGTGTCTGCCTCACCTGTCTGGCGGGTTTCCAGGCTGAATACAAGCCATGAGCATGGTAATCAAGAGTCTGCAGGCTCGGCCGTCTCTCAAATGGGACTCATGGGGTTTAGGAGATGAGAGAGGGTTTGGGAAACCACAGAGGATCACAACTTAGACTGAATTCCCTTCTGTCACCAGACCCACCGCTGGGTCCCCGAATCCCACACTGACAGTGAAGACAGAGAAACTCCAGGTCCCTGGAGTTGTGTGAACACCACAGTCCTGAGGCCTTCTGAGGGCATCTCCGACCCTGGTCCCCAGTGGCCATGGCTGTGCCGCTGTTCTGCAGAAGACCCCTCCCGCTTGTCTCCTCCGCGCTCAGTGCATGTGGAGGGAGGCAGGTGGGGAGGTTGGGGCTTGATCTAGGACTGGGGCCTGGCTGTCACCTGGAGGTAAGGAGGAGCCTGTCACGCACACGGTGTCTGCATCGCGTGGTCAGGACATGTCCGCTGATGGGACAGCCCTGACTCAAGCCCCATCAAGCCCAAAGGGGCCTCGATTGGCTCGTGGGCCTGGAAGGGCAAGGGGAGGTGGAGAGGCAGGCATCATCTGGACAGGGGAGGAGGGTGTGGGTGGCCATGTGTCAGGGCCTTTGGGATGTCCTCAGATGACTTGATTGACACATTGGAAGAAGGGTGCCTGAGGTTCAAGCTGCAGCCTGGGGTGAATGGGACGTTGTGGGGGTGTGAGTGCAGGGCCTTGCACACCCTCAGTGTCCCAGACACGGACCACCTTTCCTCTTATTCTTGCTTCCCCCAAAGGTGGGACATTTAAACCATTCGGAGTCCTGGCCCCTGGCTTGCTGTGAGAGGAGCGGGTTGGAGAGGACGGTGGACAGCAGAGGGGGCTGCTCCAGACCTCCCCTGACATCCACGTGCGTCTGCCTGCGCTCTGGGAGCGGGCGTCTTGACCCCTTCCATTGCTTTATGAGGGGTCAGAATTAAGGGCCAGGGTACCATCTTTGTGTTTGGTGGAGCAGTGATAGGCAAGTGTCTCCCCAACTTATTTGTAGGCAGAAGTATACACTTGAATGAAAAGCAAGCAAATTTCTAAGCCCGGAGCATTAACAGGCTGTTAGAGATGATCCCTCTCTTGACGTGCATCTCCCAGAAGGAGACACCCTCCTGTACCTTGATTATGCACAGTAGGCAATGCATACTTGATTTATCCCCAAATGGCAAACCCCTGTGTTGTCTGAGGACGTCTCCGATCCAGGAGGAGATGCTCTCCTGAGCAGTTGTCCTGAAGCGAAGTGGGTCTGGTGGGGCCAGGCTCCCTGAGGCAGGGCCGGCTCTCTGGCGAAGGCCTTCCCTCTGGACGGCGGAGCTCGGCCGGGCCCCTCGGCTTCAGGGCTTGGGGGGCCTTCAAGGTGTACGTTGTTTCCCTCCATCCTGACGAGGACCCCTTTCCCGGTCCCTGGCCACCAGGTGACTAACTGGAGTGGTTTCCATCTCTCCCAGGCGCTTGGGAGGCTGACGGCTAGTTGACACCGCCCGCAGTTCTCCAGGAAAGTGGGCCTCACACAGATGACTCACCTTCCTCTCTCTGGCAGCTCCCCAGCCCATATGTGAGCGCCACGCCCGCTCCAAATCACGCTCCTGGGAACTCTTGGGGCCTCCTTTCCTGGAGACTTGCTGGGAGCCTTTGTTCCAGTTGGGTTGCAGACTCCAAACACAGGAGGAGGCAATTTGCTCTTCCCATTGCAGGAGCAGAGCTGGGAGGAAACTCAGATGGCGGGCGGAGGGAGGCAGGAGTTTCCCGGGCGTGATTGCTGTCTGCCCCTCCACCCTCCGGGCCACACACGCGCTTGGCTTGTTGCCGCTGTGGCTGGTTTTCAAATTCCGCTTGAAGAGTGATTTAGACATGGAGTCAGGGGGTCAGGCCTTGTAGAGGCCACTCCGGCCTCTGCGCTGCCCGGTGGAGGTGCTGCAGCACGCTGGCCCCACGTTAGAGGCCACAAGGGCAGGGACCACTGCTTCCTCCAGGAGGAGCCTCGGGCGAGGCATGCGAGCCTGCTTGCTGGCTTCCTCCAGTCCTGGCCGCCTTTACTATTTCTTTTACCTTACACAGGTAACACACAAATGCACCTCCATGCTTGGAAATGACACAGTGCTATCCTGTAGGGTGTGGGCCCAGGGCAGCCCGGGCCCGAGGAAAGCTCGCCGATGCTGGGCGGTGATCACACCAGCTTCCTATTTGTATTCTCGATTTTGTGGGTTTTGTGTGTCGAAGGTCCCCCTCACTGATGACCTCTGTGGTCCTAAGTGGCTGCAGACGCAGGGCCCTCTGTCTGAGCACAAAGTTCACAGCAGGCAGAGATGTTACAAGGGGACGGAGGAGGAAGCATCTGTAGCATTCAGTGTTTCTGAAGGGCTTGAGAAGTCCCAGGGGCCGCCCCACTCCCAGTTCCTGATTCTGCATTGGGGCCCTAGGCTGGGCCATTCCAGGTTCCCGGGTGATGCTGAGGCTGCTGGTGGGACCACACCGTGAAAATCACTCTCCTCTGTGAACACGAGAAGGGGTGCCAGCCAGGGTGTCCCCAGTGCCATTGAGGACAAGGTCAGGCATCTTGGACACAGCCTAGAAAAACAGGGTGAGAAAAAGAATGCTTGAGATTTTTAGGGTTTTTTCCCCTTTGACTTTCTTGAGCCTGATGTTGTGTTGCTTGGGCTTCCCGAGTTTCTTTATAGGTTTTGGGGTTCAGTTAAACTCATTTCCCTGAGTCCTGGGTCCTCTCCGGAACCCGCGTGTGCAGATGGAGGACAGCCCTGTGGGTTCTGACCTGCAGCTTCTCCTGCAGCTCAGTGTGGTGGCCCATGCTGTCTGGGTGGGTGGCCCCTCAGGAGCTCCTCTCAGAAATCGGAGATGACACCCGCCTGCCGGTGAGCTCGCACTTCCACGGTAACTCGTGCGTGCGACTCCTCTGAAGGTTCCACGTGTGCGGGCACAGCAGGCGTGAAGACAGAGGGTCCCTGCCCTGTGAGCTTTATTCCCATGGGGGCACAGACGCTGAATGTTTTGGACAGTGTTGAGTGCTGTGGAAAAAATAAAACTGGTAGAAGGAGATAGTGATAGGGAGGCCAGGGAAGGCCCCTCCAAGATGAGAAGATGAACAATTAGAGGAAACAGGCATAGCCTGGAGGAGAATGCTCTGGCCACAGGCCTGCAGCATTTCCAGGCACAGTTGGCTTTAGGGACGCCATCGTATGTTAAAATAACCCTAAGATGCTTGGGGAAGAGAGCAAAAGGAGTAAACATTCCCTTTTGCCAAAAGATCAGTAATAAACAGCATTAATATAATTGTACTGTGCCCACAGAGACCATCAGAGAAAATTCTAGAATGCAGGAAATGATGGATGAGCCCTTTGGTTTTTGCAGTGGGTTGAGGGGGCCTGTCAGAGGGGTGCCCATCAGTGTAGCTGCAGGCGCTTACCGCCCGCCGGGGAAAGAGGAGCTGTGTGTAAGGCGTTAGAATGGCGCTAGCGGAGGGAGGCGTCACCATTGCTGTCTCTCCTGCAGAAAGGGGGCCTCAATCGATCGGTAGCTGATGCAGCCCCAAGATGAGGGAGGGGTCTCACTCCAGCCGCAGAGGCTCACGAATGGCAGCGTTGGCAGAGGAGGGAATGGAGTGAGCGCCGTGCATCAGTGAGAGGCGCGGGACTTGCTGATGGGGAATCAGCAAGATGCCGTTTGTCCTGGGAGCCCAACCTGAGCAGCCCCAGTTTCCTGAGGGAGCTGCTGGCGTCCTGAGCTTCCCAGTGACAGTTCCTGGAGGAGTCCCGGCACCTCGTTTAGGGCAGAGCAGCTGCTGCCACATGCCCCAAGGTGGCATCCAGGAAGCCCAGACGCTAGACTTTTTCTCTCTCGGGAGGGAACGAGAGTCCTAGGAACAGGGTCGTTGACTGATCTACTTGCCTTCATTCTTTTATCCATTCATTCAACAAATGTTTAGTAAGCACCAGCAGAAGACCACACAGGCACTGCTCATCATGTGCACCTTCTAGAGGGGAAGACAGCAAACACATAAATAAGGGAATATGGAACCTGCTGCGTGGTGGTCAACGCTGTGAAAAAATAAATAAGAGGAAGGAAGGGGCTGGCGGGCTGGGGGGCAGTCTTGTTTTGAATAGGCAGGGAAGGTCTCTCTGAGGAGCTAACATGTAGCAGAGACCAGAAAGAAGTGAGGGAGGGAGTCAGGTGGTTGTCTTGGGGGAACAGCATTCTAAAGGGTGGACACAGCAAGTGTGAAGGCCCTGAGGTGGGAGACCAGGCTTGAGGGCTGGTATGGGCAAAGAGAGAGTGAGGCAGGCCGGGTGACCTGGCCCTGTCTGACCACAACTGGGATCCGGATGGAAAGTCAATGACTTTGCACATCACCACCCAAGGCCCCCTGGGCCGTGAGGGTGCTGCTCTGACTTCAGTGCTGGGGACTTGGTTCTCCAGCTGCGTCCTGACATGTATCCATTCTCTCTCATTTCAGACTCGCAGGCAGTACAGCGAGGCCACCAATGAGAGCAACCGAGTCTTCCTGTACTGCGCCTTCTTGGACTTCAGGTACTGCTGCTTGAGGTCCCCGGGCAAGGACAGGGCGGGAGAGTGGGGGGAGGGTGGGGGAAGGGGCTGGTGCCACATGGGTGTCCAGGCCCATGCTCCATCACATGCCAGCCCGGGTAAACTTCCAGGGTCCCGTTTCCGGAGGCAGCACAGTCGCATCACCTTCCGGGGGCTGGAGAGGACTCAGGACAGGGGCAGGACCTGGAGGACGAGCTGGGAGAGGCTCCTCTCTGGACACAGCCAGGTTTATCAAGACACCGTCTCTTAGAGCCCAGGGTGGTCTTCAGACACTTACCCAGTTCAGCTGAGTCACCAGGACCTCAGGATGGATGACGCTGTTTGGGTGGACAGGGTCCTGGCGCCCCTGGCTGTGTCAGAGTTAGGTGCTGGACTGGGGGTCTTGGGGTCAGGAGGAGGGCTCAGGAAGCAGCTCTTTCCTGGCTGACATGTCAGCATCTTAGGATTTTAAGACCTTGATGACCACACTGGGTGAGCTGAACCTCAGCTCTGTGAGTCCTCGGCCTCTGCCGCTCAGCCCTGGACTCAGGGGTATCCTTCTTCAGCATCTCCTGTGCACACCTCTGAGGTTCACTCTTACCCTCCCTCCTGGACACCATCCCAACTCACCTCCTTGGGCTCACCTGCCCACAGGCTGGGGGGGCCTTCTCCTGATGTCGTTCTCATCGCGATGCTCCTCTGGACGTGAGCCCACCACAAACGGCCCCCATGGTCAAAACAGGGATTGAAAACAGATCCCCACAGGGCCAGGGAGGTGCCATCAGTGAGCATAAGAGACAGTTGGGAGTGGATGGGGTAGGGGCATGGCGCTAGGGTCACAGACCCTCTCAGCTGCTCAGCTCGGGCCCCCGTGGCGTGTTCCCCATGGGCTCCAGGCCCCATGTTTTCAGATCTTCTGATTGTCCGAGGTTGGATTTTTACGTGAAATTTGAAACACCATAGAGGTAAAAAGAACACATCTGGGGCCTCCGGTTCACACCCAACCTGATGGCTGCTCACCTTTCATATTGTCAGGGCTCCCCACACCTGAGCATCTTCCCTGTACCTGGACCCACGCCCCCAGGTCCCTCCAGCCCAGCATCCTCCCAGGGCCTTGCTGCCTTCCCTGGTGCAGCCTCACTCATCAGAGAAAGCCAGTCTGCTTCCCTGCCTTCAGAGGACCAGGAGACTCAAGATGCTGAGCTGGGTTGGGGTCGGGCTGTGGTGGGTTGGCTTGATCCCAGTTTATCTCCGCTCCATGAACAGTGAGGAAAATGCAGCAGGTCCCCGTAATGCTCAGCAAATATATATATATATATATATATAATCTCGTGGGGGTGCTTTTCTCTGGCTGTGGCCTTCAGCAGTGCACCCACGTGCCATCTGAAAAATGGATTGACGGCTCTGGAAGTTGAGTGGTTTTGCCTTGGCCAAGTTCAGCCAGTTGCATCCCTCTATTCATATCTTTGTAAATTGTGAAAATTCAGAAGCACAATCTCCTAGAAAAAGTCACCCCGATCTTGGGGGCACTGCCAGTAGAAAAAAAATTTATGGAAGGAAAGGAGAGATGGAGTTTAGTAAGAACCAAATGAAATGTTGGTTTTTATTTTTGAAGAAATTTTAAGAGCAAAGTGCAAAGAATATTATAACAAATCCAGGTACCCATTGCCCTAAATTTTCAATTACTAACATGTTTCTATTTTTAAGAATAAATCAACAAAAACATCATAGATGATGCTAAAGAACGCTGTCTCCTCCTGTTCTTTCCCCTCAATTCCCAGAGGCAGCTACTATGTGAATACAGTGTATGTAACCTGCCTGTCCGTGTTCCCAATTATTATTTATTAGCATACAATTTGCATTCAGAAAAATGAATACATTTTTGTTATTCAGTTCTGTGAGTTTTGACAAATGAATGCAGTTGTGTAACTGCCGTCATCAAGATGTAGAGCAATTCATCACGCTCAGAGATTCCTTCCTGGCCATTTGCCGTCATCCCCCGCTCTGATCCCGGCTCTTGCAACCACTGATTCGTCTTCTATCCCTGGAGTTTTGCCTGTGCAAGAATGCCATATATATTCAATCATATAAATGGATCATAGCGTGGGTGCCCTTTTAAGTCTGGCTCCTTTCATTTAGCATAATAACATTGACGTTGTTGCATGTGTCAACAGTTCATTTTTGTTTTCTGTTGCTGTGTGGTATTCCATTGCATGGCTGTCCCATATCGTTTGTTGTCTTTTCTCCAGTGGGGGAACATTTGGGTTGTTTCCACTTTTGAGGGATTATGAATAAAGCTGAAGGTTGAACCAGCTTTGCATTCCTGGGATAAACCACACTTGGTCATGATATATTATCTTTTTATATATTGTTGAATTTGTTTTGCTAGAATTGTTGAGGATTTTGGTATCTATGTTCATGAAGGATATTTGTTTATAGTTTTCTCTTTTTGTAATGTCTTTGGTTTATGTGGCAAGGTAATGGTATCTTTGTAAAAGGTATATTTTAGAATGCATTTTGGAATAGTTTGTATAGAACTGATATTATTTCTTCCATAAATATTTGTTAGAATTCACCAGTGAAGCCATCTGAACCTTAGTTTTTGTTGTTGGTAGGTTTTCACATGCACATTCAATTTCTGTAATGGATACAGAACTATTTAGGTCATTTACTTCTTTGTAAGTGAGTTTTGGCCGTTTGTGTTTTTTGAAGAATCTGTCCAAATTATGTTTAACTTTTGGGCACGGAGATTTTTGTAGTATTCCCTAATTAGCTTTTTTCCATGTCTGTAGGGTCTGTGGTGATGTCCCTATTTCATTTTTGATATCTGTAATTTGTGTCTTCTCTCTTTTTTCTTGGTCACTCTTACTAGAGGTTTATCAATTTTATTGATTTTTTCAAAGAAACAACTTTTTATTTCTCTATTGTGTTTTTATTGTCAATTTCATTGATTTATCCCCATCTCGTTGTCTTTAGTTTATTTCTTTCTGCTTGCTTTGGGTTTAATCTGCTCTTCATTTTTTAATTTCTTAAAGTGGAGGTTTGGATTATTGATATGAGAACTTTATTATTTTCTAATATAAACATTTAATGTTATAAGTTTTCCTGTAAGCACTGATTTAGCTGCATCTCATGAATGTTGAAATGTTGTTTCATTTTCATTAAATTAAAAATATTTTCTAACTATCCTTATGACTTCCTTTTCAACCCATATACTGTTTTAAAGTGTATTGTTTATTCCAAATATTTGAGACTTTCCAGAGATCTTTTTGCTATTGATTTCTAATTAAAATTTTTGTTGATCTGAAAACATTTTTTATGTAACTTCAATTCTTTTTAATTTGTAAAAAAGTTGTTTTATGACCCAGAATATGTTTACTCTTGGTGAATGTCCCATATGTACTTAGAAAAAATGTATTCTTTTCTTTTTATTTTTTCTTGGTGAGGAAGCTTTGCCCTCAGCTAACATCTGTTGCCAGTCTTCCTCTTTTCTTTGCTGGAGGAAGATTGGCCCTGAGCTAACATCCATGCCAGTCTTCCTCTACTTTGTGTGTGGGACGTCTCCACAGCATGGCTGATGAGTGGAGGAGGTCCGTGCCTGGGATCCAAACCCATGAACCCGGGCTGCCAAAGCAGAGCAGGAGGAACTTTAACCACTGCGCCATGGGGCCAGCCCCCAAGAAAATGTATTCTTAATGGAGTGTTCTATAAATGTCAATTAAGTCACATTGATTGATAGTGTTCAGATCTTCTGTAACTTTATTACCTTTCTGTCAACTTATTCTATCGATTAATAAGAGAGGAGTGTGAATTCTATATTCGGTTTTATCAGTTTTTTAGAAAAATGTATTTTGAAGCTCTTTCTCAGTGCGTATACAGTTAGGATTCTTATGTCTTCTTGGAAATTGACCCCTTTGTCATTATCCAAAGTCCCTGTCCATCCTGGGAAATATTTGTGGCTCTGAAGTCTACTTTGTCTAACTTTGATTTAGCTATTCTGGCTTTCATAGTTAGTGTTTGCACGCTGTATCTTTTCCTATCCTTTTACTTTAACCTATTCATATCTTTATAGTTAAATCAAGTTTCTTATAGACTGCATGTGACTGGGTTCTGCTTTTCTATCCAATCGGAACATTTCTGTTTTTAATTGGCATGTTAGATAATTTATATTCAATGTGATTATTGATGTAGTTGGATTAAACCTGCCATGTTGCTAGCTGTTTGCTATTTTTTCTATCTTTTCGTTGTTTCTTATGTTTTCTTTTTCTCACTTCATTTGGATTTTGGGGGCTAGTGTATGATGTTATTTCATCTCCACTCTTGATTTTAGTTTATACTCTCTTTTTAATTTTTTGCAGCGGTTGCCCTTAGGCTTACTAGTGTATGCCTTTCGGTCGTCTGTGTCCACCTTCAGATAACCGTCTGTCACTGCACGTGTGTCCTAAGACATTAATCTTTTCACAGTTCCCCCTCCCATCCCTTGTGCTTGCTTGTCATACATTTTACCTTTACAGATGCCCCAAATGCACAATATGGTGATAGTATTTTTGCTTTAGACAATTAGTTATCTTCTAGAGCAATTATAAATAAGAAAATTATAATTGCATACTTCCCTTCATCTTTTTCCATTTCCAGCTATTTTATTTCTTTGTGTAGATCAAAGTTTCCATCTGGCATCATATGCTTTTAACTTTTCCTGTAGTGTGTGAGTCTCCTGGCAATAAATTCGTTTTTTGTTTGAGAAAGCATTCTCTTTTATTTCTGAAAGATATTCTCACTGGGCTTAGAATTCTGGGTCATTTTTTCTAGACTTTCACTTTAAAAAAGACGTAAGCAATATGTCAATACATTGTTCTTTTAAAATGTAAAACATTGTATAAAAGCAGACGACCCTTTACATACAATTATATCTTATCCTGATCTGCTCGCCTCTCTCTAGCAGGAGCCACAGCAGGGAGATCTTTGTGGGTGTTTTCTCAATCATTTATGTATGATTTATACTTCTGTTGAAAGGAAATAAGTGGTATTGCTTAGTTTCACGTTTCTCACATCATTTCATGACACTTTGTTTTGTGCTCTGCCCATATTGTGCTCTGTGCTCATCTCTTTTAACGATGTGTAGTATTTTTTTCCTATTTATACATGCACCACATTTTATTTATGCGTGTGAGTGCACGTTTTTCTCTTGCACGCAGACTTCCTGGGTCACAGGGTTGTGCACGTTTTGCTGATGTCTGACATCGCCCAGCCTGGCCTGCAGGGCAGACTGTCTGTGCGGAAGCCGGGAGCCCGCCCGCCTTGTGTTCCCTGGCACTCTGGGAAGGGATCTTCACACCCGGGAGGAGGTGCTGCCCACTAGGGCTCAGTTCCCCTGGCGTATTAGGCCATTGTCACACCTTCACGGCTCCATTTGGGAAAGTGATTTTCCTGGTTTTAATTCCCAGTCGCCCTCTGTGTTAGCAGAAGCACAGTTTTTTGTTTTTGGGTTTTTTTTTAAAGATTTTATTTTCCTTTTTCTCCCAAAGCCCCCCGGTACATAGTTGTGTATTTTTAGTTATGGGTCCTTCTAGTTGTGGCATGTGGGACGCCGCCCCAGCATGGCCTGACGAGCGATGCCATGTCCACATCCAGGATTCGAACCAGCGAAACCCTGGGCCGCTGCAGCCGAGTGTGTGAACTGAACCGCTCGGCCACGGGGCCGGCCCCACGAAGCACAGTTTTTGTCCCCTTGGCCATGTTCACCTAATTCAGTGCCTGCTAGTTTTCGGGCCACACTCTGACTGAAGGTGGCTTTCATACATTCAGTGGACAGACAGAGGTGCTGTACGTAACCGGACAGCCCATGTCACTGACTCTCCTCAAGGTCCTGGAGACATTAGACCAGAACCAGTGGTAGAGGGAGGAGGATATGACCCAATCTTTCCATCCCTTTTCTTCTGAAGTGGGGTTTTGCTGGCTGTGCCCTCTGGTCTCTGCTGAATGCCCCCCACCTCCCGAGGAGGGCAGACCCTGCATCGTGAAAAGTGCCTCTGAGGCTGCTGACCGAGTCTCGGCCATCAGGCTCAATGCCCGCCTGAGCTGTCTCCAAATGACCCTTCCCACCCGGCCCTCAGGTTCTGTGTCGCCCGTGAGCACAGAGTTCCAGTCATACCGCATCGCATCCTCACGGGGACACCCTCTGCCTCAGGGATGGAAATAAAAATGCTGCCAGCTGTGCTTGCTTCGTGGCACACTCTCGGGGCGGGGGTGGGGCAGGGGCACGACTGAGTCTTTATCAGTCACTCCCGCCCCCAAAGGCACATTTCTCATCTGCTACGTTCGCTGCTGACATTACAGTCAAACTGAAGATGAAGCAAAGAGAAACTAGAGCCTTTTAATTTCTTCAGCTTTGTGAAAGCTTTCTGCCAAGGCCCCTGCCAAAGATCTGTCTTTGCTGATAACTCAAAGTTACAATGTCCGGGAAGAACCATTTAAACATCTCTTTGGGAATTTGAAAGTATAGAGAGAGACGGAGAAGAGAATTATAATCGCCGAGATTCTCACCAGAAGAATGAACCACGGTTAACCTTTGAGTCATTTCTGTCTAGGTTTATACTTTAAGAAATGATACAAGTACTGTGTTGATGCATTATTCTTTAAAAAAGGAAAACGTTATAAAGAAGCAGACGTCTCTTTGACTTTTACATCTTATCCTGAGCTCCTCCCCTCTCTGGAGGTAACCGCTGGGGAGTTGTCTCAATAGTTTATACACAGTTGATGTTCGTGTGCACGGAAAATGTGAAGAATAGGATCTCGTTGTGTGTCGTGCCCCTGGCAGCATTGTGACACATGAAACATTATACATTACGTTTTTGGGTTTTATCCATATCGATACACCTTTTTGACTGACATGTAGTATTTTGTCATATTGGTATATATTATAGTTTATCCAGTTCCCCAAGGTGGACATTAGATTACTTTAATGTTCTCTAGTGTCACCCATCACTTAGTAAATACCCTGACGTGTCCCCTGTGCATATACCTCAGAATCCTCTAGAAGTAGGATTGCTGGGTGGTAGGACTTATACATCTCATTTTTTGGTGGCTATTGGTCCAGGTGCTTTCAAAGCCATTGTGCCAAAGTGACCCCACCACTTTCCTCTCCCAGAAGGAGGCCTGTTTCCTTGTGGCCTGATCAACACCAGCCGCGCTCTGCTCTTGTCAGCCTGATGCATGAGAAGCCTTTCTGAGTCCACTGGCCAAGGGTGGTCTGGTGCTTCCTGCTGACCATTTCTCCCATGTCCTGTCCTCAGCTCCGGGGACGGGATCTGGTCGAACCAGGGCTGTGCGCTCGTGGAGGGGAACCTCAGCTACTCCATCTGCCACTGCACGCACCTCACCAACTTCGCCATCCTGATGCAGGTGGTCCCGCTGGAGGTAAGAGCTGGGCGTCGAGGGGTCCCAGGCTTCGAGGAGGTGCCCTGCCTACCTTGGGCTGCAGGCAGGGGCAGGGTGGCCTGTGTTACCCGTCACTGTCCGGGGGGGCTGGTCAGGGAGGCTCTGTGATTAGGGACATTTGCGAGGCTCTACTTTTTTTGGCAGAAGAAATCTTTGCCTCAGGTGTCCTCAGGCCGCACCTGTGCAGACCCTGCTCCCTCCCGAAGATTTGTGTGCAGACTGGAAGGTGGTCACGCCAGCACTTTCTGCCTTCTGTCACTGGGCTGTGACATCCTCCCTGTGCTGCGGGGTGTCATGGCTGTGTCCAGTTCAGCTGAGTGAGGTCCTGGGCTGTAACCTGTGTGTGTGAGTGTCCAGCGAAGGAGTCACCCAGTGTGAGACACAGGTGCCTATGTCTACAGTGTGCCTACGCCACATCCTCTGAGCATTGCTGCTGTGAGACAGGAGACACTGGGCTGGACAGGGCACTGGGCCTGTTTCTGAGAGACCTGACTTCTAGCTCCAGAGTTAGCAAGCCCTGTGGTGGGCGAAGTGATTTTCAACAACCTTCTGGTCTCCTTCTCTCTAAATGGGACCATGACATCTTCCCTGGAGCCTCAGGTTAAGGATGGAGCGGGCCTCCTGGTTGGTTCAAAATATTTTATCTTTATTTCCTACTGGGCTTCATGGTCAGCCCTAAGGGCTAGAGATTCATTTCTTTGGTTCAAGGCAAGCATAGCTTGTAAGAGAGAAAAAAGTGCTCTTTAAAAATGCAGATGCCCCTGGGTGGGCTCCTTGGACCTGTTTTCAGTCTCTGACACCTGTGTGTGAATGAATGACTTCATGGGCTTCCAGGCTCCCAAAGGGCCGTGAATTTCTACGGTGGGGGAGGAGAGGCAGGAGGAGGTGGGGCTGTTCCTCCTAAGGATCTCCTAAGGTCCACCAAAGCCAGGCACCTATAGACAAATTTTGTTTCATCCCAAACTGTGTTTTGGAAATTGAAAAATTTTATTTACGACTCTGAAATTCTGGCTCCTCTTGAAGATTCAGAGGGTTTGGCGATGCTGCGCCCGAGTTCTTACTCAGAACAGGGAGGCTGGAGCTGAGCAGAGCCTCCCTGCTTCAGCAGAGCTGTGCTCTCCACCCAGCTTGGCTCAGCAGCCCCTCCCCTCCTCTGGGCGGGTGCTCGAGCTCCTGCTCCTTGTGCCTGAGTGGAGGGAGGCGGGCGAGCCTGGGAAATGAGCTGGGGGCTGGGATGTCTGCACCTGCTGAAAGTGACCTTTGCTGTCCTCACCTGCTCTGGCAGGCGCTCCGGCAAACCCCCTTCCTGTTACGGGGGTGGCCCGCCCTCCCTGGGCACATCCACTCCACCGGGGTCTGTCTGTTTAGGAACAGGCTCCATTCTCTGGGATTCTGGAGGCCAGGGACTGCGTAGATCGGGCGTCAGCAAATATTTGAGGAGTGCTTAATTGGATCAGTTCTGTCTGGAATGTGTGATTCCTGTAGCAACACCAAGATTGCAACTGGTGGCCCCGTAAGGACCTCATCCATCATCATTCAACACGTACTTGTCAGCACCTACGATGGGGCAGGCTCTGGAGGTTCAGTGGCAAACCAGAAAAATACTGAGTTTCTGCTTTTGAGGAGCTTATATTCTAGTGGGAAAGACAGAAAATAAACAGATTAGCAAACAAATGGGTAATTTCAAATAGCAATAATTGTAGGAAGAGCACTGAAGAGAGCGATGGAGAAAGTGGCGGGGGAAGGAGATGGCCTTCTGACGGTGTGGTCCGGAGAGGTGTCTCCGTGGAAGGGACATTTGAATGGCCGAAGAAGCTAGTCTCTTGAAGGCCTGGGAGAAGACTGTTCCAGGTTAAGGAGCAGCGAGCGCAGAGGGCAGGAGGCAGACATGGGCTCGGAGTCAGGGATGGAGGGCGCTGAGCGTGCCGTGCCTCTTTCTGTTTGAGAAATGCAGCATGGATTTTGCATCGAGAACATGACCTGCTTGTGGAGAATCCAGAGGGGAGTTCCACGCTAGCCCTAAGAGGACATGGGGTCGGCACCACACCCCCGACCCCCACGCACCCCCCATGCGCAGACACACCCAACATTGGCCATGTGTGGGAGCCTGGACAAATGGCCCCCTTTGCCCTGCTTGTGATGAAACTTCAAGTGAGAGAGTGGAGTGTGCAGACTCCTCGGCAATCCCATCAATCGGAGTTGCCAAGGAAGCGTGGGTTATGTCTGGGAACCCTGACCGGGCATGAAATGAAGCCGAGGCACTTACAGGCCAGGCATCCTTCACGCTGTGCGCTTTGAGTTTCCAAAGGGTGGTTCTATCATAGGGCCTGTGGGGTGTGCGCCCACTTGTTTGCCCTTAGAGCACCCTTAGAGGTAAATGTTCAGGCAGGTGTGACCCCCAGACAACCCCAGTGGGTGTGACGTCTAGGGAGCAGCTGCCCATCAGGCGACTGCACCTGGTCGCCTTCCCTTTTCCTCTCCATTCCTCCCACGCACTCTGTCAAAACCCCTTTCTCATTATCCCTCAGCTCTTTTATCCTCCTCCACTGCTCCTAAATCAGGGCTGTGCACAGGAGGCTGTGAACCATTAGTAGCTAGGGAGGGCCATTGCTAGCAATTTAAGGGAAAATGAAATAGAATAAAGTGCAATATACCAGAGTGCACTGAAGTGGAAAGGGGAAGTCTGTGCTGTGAGCCTGGGTGTCAATGACCTTGACTGCAGGAGATGCCCCTGAAATCCATCCCATCCATTCTTCCATCCCATCCATTCTGTCCTATCCCATCCCATCCATTCCATCCTGTCCCATCCCATCCATTCCATCCTCTCCCTTCTCTTCCATTCTGTCCCATCCCATCCATTCCATTTCTTTCTCCGTCATCCTTTCCTATCGTGTTCTGTGGGTCATGATATCACAAATATTTCTCACCAAGGTCGGACCCCAGGAGGTGAGCAGCCTGGCCTCCGTGAGGCTCGTGCCTCCATCTGTCTCCTCTGCTGCACGTCCTCCTCTCCTCGCTCCTCCAGGCCTCAGCCCACACGGCTCATTCACGCATCCCTCTGGTGTCAGTGAGAGTCCAGTGACTCACCTCGCCATTCCAGAGGAAAAGGTACTGAGCTGCTGCCACGCAGAAAACAATATGTCAGTAAAACTGGGAGGGTCTGAGTGATGCTGTGGCCAAGTCCCTTCATTTACGAGTGGAGAAAATGAGGCCCAGAGACAGGGATGGTTTTGCCTGTGGTCCTTCATTCATTCAACAACCAATTGCTGAGTTCTAGGTGAAGACCCCAGGCTTTTGGGCATTAGTCTGGACTTTGGAAGATAGCAGTGGAAAAATCACAGTGCTCACGGTCTTGGGGGGGATGCAGACACTCAGCCATGGAAGCATGCTATGTGTGTGGCAGTGAGGGTGATGAGGAGAATATTGTAAGGCGAGAGAACATGACCTGGGTGACGGTGGTGCTGTTTTAAAGAGGACAGCTGTGGCAATGGGTTAGAGACCTCAGAGAGGTGGGAGTGGAGCCCCATGGACAGAAGGGACTCCAGGCAGAGGAAGGAGCAGGTGCAAAGGCCTGAGGCTGCTGTGGCTCCCAGGAAAGTCTAAGGGGCTCAGAGGCAGGAGCTTCAGACTCAGATGTCAGGGGACAGAGAGGTGACAGAGTGATGGAAGTGGGGGACCGTCGTGGAGGGTGGGGTGGTGGTGAATGAGAGTACTCTCTGCCAATGGGGCGGCCACTGCAGATGAGACCCAGTGCTGCGCCATCTCCTGAGGAGAAAAGCTAGAGATCTGGTTCGCTGTGAAATCTCCTGAGCTTTAGATGTGTCATCTTTATTTCCAGGCCATGTGTGAGAGGTATGTCCATGAGCTGGCCCAGTCCGATGTCCCCAGACCAGCTGCCCTCCCTCCACTTGCTCAGAACCAGCCAGGCCTTTGAAAATGCAGGCTCTGATTCAGCAGGTCCGGGTGGGCCAGGGTCCTCATTTCTAACAAGGCTCAGGGGATGCCCAGGCACTGCTGGCCCCGGGCCGCTCTCTGAATAGACCTGGACGTAGGCACTGGTTTGCACAAGTCAGATCGGGTTTCTGTTCTTGTCCTGTGGAGACAGCCGGGCTGACTATTACAGATCTGAAGGGTGAGTTAGGAGCGTCTGGTCCCGAATGTGCATCAGAAGCCTGTAGACACCTGACTTTGGCTGGGGGACTGGAGGGAGGGCCTCAGACACGTCATCCTCCTGGAGACCAGCTGCAGTGGGAAACCTGCGGGCCGCCTTTTAGGAGAGGTGTTCCAGAGGCCCGGGAAACAAAGAATGGTTTACGAGGAGCTCAGCCCACAAGGTGGCCCTGGAAGGCAGGCACCGCGGTCAGTGAGGGCAGCTGTAATCCTGGCGGTCACAGTGCAGACCACCTGCCAGTGACAGCGAGGACAGCTCAGGCACTGTGTCAGGTGCTCGCACAGCGTGTGTTCCCTCCTTCCGTGTGAGTGAGGGGCTGTCATCCTCGAGGTTACACATGAGGGTTCGGGCTTCCCCACCGTCACCCAGGGAGCAGAGCCCTCGGAATCCCAGAGCTCAGGCATAGGCCCGGGCCCGGGCCCGGGACGGCCTGTGGGCAGGGCTCCCTCCTCTGGGTCCTTTACACGCTGAGGACTAATCCCGTCCGTCTCCCTCTGTGACCTGGGAGGCTCTTCTGGGCAGGGCAGGGCAGAGGGGGCTGAAGCACCACGAGCTGTGTCGTGAGAGCTGGCGGAGAGGCAGGAAGGGAGGCAGCACGGTCCAGCAAGCTGAAAACACCGGGGTCACAGAGCACGTAAGATGACAAATCTGTCACCACTCAGTGTAGGTGACACCAGATTTAGATTGTCTGTGGGTGTCTTCATGGAAGCAAATCATATCTACTCGTTGCCAGGAAAGGTTGATTTGAAAATGATTTAAAATTATCCATGCTAAAAACGAATGTGAGAAGAATTAAGGCAGTTATTAC